ACTATAGTATGCCATCTTCAATATAATATTCATAACCCTTTAAGGGCACATGGATGGCTCAGCAAGTGACTCTCCATCTCAGGGTTGTAGATTCAAGCCTCATGTTGTGTGTAGAGTTACTTAAAAATAAAATCTTTAGGGGCGCCTGGGTGGCTCAGTCGTTGGGCATCTGCCTTCAGCTCAGGTTATGATCCCAGGGTCCTGGGATCGAGCCCCACATTGGGCTCCCTGCTCGGTGGGAAGCCTGCTTCTCCCCCTTCAGCTCCCCCTGCTTGTGTTCCCTCTCTCACTATGTTTCTGTCAAATAAATTCTTTAAAAAATAAAAAAATAATAAAATAAAATCTTTAGGGGCACGTGCCTGGCTCAGCCAGTAGAACATGTGACTCTTGATCCCAGGGTTGTAGGCTCGAGTCCCACACCGGTTATAAAGATGACTCAAAAAAATGAAATCTTTAAAAAATAACAATGATAAAATAAAATCTTTTAAAAAATTGATAACCCTATAAAATGAAACTTTTAAGGCATATGGATACACAAACATGTAATGAAAATATTAAACACGAATGAGAAAAATAATACAATTCAAAGTAATCTCTGGGAAGGAAAGAAGGGAAGGGTACACCTACAATATGAGAAATCTTATTTCTTAAAACAAAAAAACCCATAAATACGTAGTAATTTTAAGATTTATATGTCTCAATTATAAATATACTGGGATTGGTAATAACATTCTCTATACCTGTCTATTTGAAAGACTTCATAGTAAAAATATTTTTAAGAAAATTTAAACCAAAACATTGCCATACGTCTAATCTATTTGAAAAGGAAATTGGCAAATTATGAAAAGGGACTTTTCAGCCATCACTGGAGGCAGTGCCCTCTCTTTCTTGTATGCTTTTTATACCAATAACTACCTCTGGCAATGAAAATATCTGCTGATGATCCTAGATGATACTGAGTTTCATGAATAAAGACACAACTAGCCTGGTTCAGAAGAAATCATAAACAAAACAAAAACTGTTTATGACACTATGGCGATGAAAATCACAAGAGATTAATATCACACCTTTCTTGGACCTTAACATAGTTGTAACAGAGATCTTCTAATAAGCGTCTCTTTCTTAATAGAGTGACTTCCTCATGCAAAATATGGCAAGAGGGTTTTCACAAAAAGTAGTGATGAAATGTTCTAGAATTAGACAGTTGTGACGGTTATACAACTCATGGTTATACAACCCACCAAACTGTATACTTTAAAAGAGTGAATTTTATGACATGAATTATGTCTCAAGAAAACCGTTTTAAAAAAACAACGAGCAATGATGATTCTTCATTTAAAATGGCATTCCACAGGCGCCTAGTGGCTCAGTCGGTTGAGCATCTAACTCTTGGTAACAGCTCAGATCATGATCTCACAGTCACAGGATGGAGCCCCACGCCAAGCTCCATGCTCAGCACAGAGTCTGCTTGGGATTCTCTCCCTCTCCTTCTGCCCCTCCCCACTCTCATGGACGTACACTCTCTCTAAAATAAATAAATAAGTAAATCTTTAAAAAAATAAATGAATCAAAAAAGTGGCATTCCAACAAAGTTCTTTTTTCCATCTTACTACAATTACCATAAGTTCCTTGAAATCAGAAACTCCTATTTATCTTTGGAAAGAGCACACCATAAATAAAGACAACACAAAATCTACCTCCCAGCTGAAAATCTAACTTTCTCACAATATGATAAACAAAAATTGGCGACAGAAGAGCACATTTTAAACATATTTTGAGCTGAAGATCTGTATTTTTTTTCCCTTAGTGGTAGAATGCATTGGTAAGCACGACCAAGTGAGATTTATTCCTGGGCTGCGAGGGTAGTTCAATATCCGCAAATCAATGTGATAAACTACATTATTAAAGAAAGGACAAGAACCATATGATCATCTCAATAAATGCAGAAAAAGCATTTGACAAAGTACAGCATCCTTTCTTGATGAAAACAGTGTAGGGATAGAGGGAACATAACTCAGTATCATAAAAGCCACATATGAAAAGCCCACAGCAAGTATCATTCTCAATGAGGAAAAACTGAGAGCTTTTCCTCTAAGGTCAGGAACATGGCAGGGATGTCCACTATCGCCACTGCTGTTCAACATAGTATAGAAGTGGGGCGCCTGGGTGGCTCAGTCGTTGAGCGTCTGCCTTCAGCTCAGGTCATGATCTCACGGTCCTGGGATCGAGCCCCACATCGGGCTCCCTGCTCGGCCGGAAGCCTGCTTCTCCCTCTCCCCCTCCCCCGCTTGTGTTCCCTCTCTAGCTGTCTCTCTCTCTGCCAAATAAATAAATAAAATCTTAAAAAAAAAAAATAGTATAGAAGTCCTAGCCTCAACAATCAAGACAACAAAAAGAAATAAAAGGCATCTGACTCGGCAAAGAAGTCATCAAACTCTCACTCTTCGCAGATGACATGAAACTCTTAGGTGGAAAACTCGGAAACTCCACCCCAAAATTGCTAGAGCTCGTACAGGAGTTCTGCAAAGTGGCAGGATATAAAATCAATGTGCAGAAATCAGTTGCATTTCTATACAACAACAAGACAGAAGAAAGAGAAATTAAGGGGTCGATCCCATTTACAATTGCACCGAAAACCATAAGATACTTAGGAGTAAACCTAACCAAAGAGGTAAAGGATTTGTACTCAGAAAACTACAGAATACTCATGAAAGAAATTGAGGAAGACACAAACAAATGGAAAAACGTTCCATGCTCATGGATTGGAAGACAAATATTGTGAAAATGTCTATTCTACCTAGAATAATCTACACATTTAATGCAATCCCTATCAAAATACCATCAACTTTTTTCACAGAACTGGAACAAATAATCCTAAAATTATGTATGGAACCAGAAAAGACCCCGAATAGCAAAAGGAATATTGAAAAAGAAAACCAAAACTGGTAGCATCACAATTTCGGACTTCAATCTCTACTACAAAGCTGTAATCATCAAGACAGTGTGGTACTGGCACAAAAAAAGACACATAGATCAATGGAACAGAATAGAGAACCCAGAAAGGACCCTCAAATCTATGGTCAATATCCAACAAAAAAAAGACGGTCTCTTCAACAAATGGTGTTGAGACAACTGGACAGCCACATGCGGAAGAATGAAACTGGACCACTTCCTTACACCATACACAAAAATAGACTCAAAATGGATGAAAGACCTAAATGTGAGACAGGAATCCATCAAAATCTTAGAGGAGAACACAGGCAGCAACCTCTTCGATCTCGACCACAGCAACTTCTTGCTAGACAGGTCTCCAAAGGCAAGGGAAACAAAGGCAAAAATGAACTATTGGGACTTCGTCAAGACAAAAAGCTTTTGCAGAGCAAAGGAAACAGTCGACAAAACCAAAAGACAACCGACAGATGGGAGAAGATATTTGCAAATGACATATCAGGTAAAGGGCTAGTATCCAAAATCTATAAAGAACTGGGCAAACTCAACACCCAAAGAACAAATAATCCAGTCAAGAAATGGGCAGAGGACATGAACAGACATTTCTGCAAAGACCACATCCAAATGGCCAACAGACACATGAAAAAGTGCTCAACATCACTCGGCATCAGGGAAATCCAAATCAAAAGCTCTGTGAGATACCACCTTACACCAGTCAGGATGGCTAAAATGAACAAGTCAGGAAAACGACAGATGTTGGCGAGGATGCGGAGAAAGGGGAACCCTCCTTCACTGTTGGTGGGAATGCAAGCTGGTCCAGCCTCTCTGGAAAACAGTATGGAGGTTCCTCAAAAAACTGAAAATAGAGCTACCCTATGACCCAGCAATTGCACTACTGGGTATTTACTTCAAAGATACAAATGTAGTGATCAGAAGGGGCACCTGCACCCCAATGTTTATAGCAGCAAAGTCCACAATAGACAAAGTATGGAAAGAGCCCAGACGTCCATCAATAGATGGATGAAGAAGATGTAGTATATGTATATGTGTATATATATATACATATATATACACACACACACACACACAATGGAATACTACTCAGCCATCAAAAAAAAAAAAATCTTGCATTTGCAACGACGTGGATGGGGAACTAGAGTGTATTGTGCTAACCAAAATAAGTCAATCAGAGAAAGACAATTATCATATGATCTCACTCATATGTGGAATTTAAGAAACAAAACAGGATCATAGAGGACGAGAGGAAAAAATAAAACAAGACCAAATCAGAGAGGGAAACAAACCATGAGACTCTTTATCACAGGAAACAAACTGAGGGTTGCTTGGGGGTCGGGGGGGATGGAGTAACTGGGTGATGGACATTAAGGAGGGCACATGATGTAAGGAGCACTGGGTATTATATACGACTAATGAATCACTGAACTCTACCTCTGAAACTAGTAATACATCATATGTTAATTCAATTTAAATTTAAAAAAAAAAAAAATGGGGGCGCCTGGGTGTCTTAGTTGGTTAAGCAACTGCCTTTGGCTCAGGTCATGATCCCAGGGTTCTGGGATCAAGCCCACATTGGGCTCCCTGCTGAACAGGGAGCCTGCTTCTCCCTCTCCCTCTGCCTGCCGCTCCCCCACTGCTTGTGCTCTCTCTTTCTCTGTCAAATAAATAAAATCTTAAAAAAAAAATGCATGGTGAGAATTCAGGTTACCAATTACTTCTGAAAAACCAATTTTTCTGAAAAGGCCCTACCTCCCAAAAATACCTATCTACTCAAATAAATTATAAGGGATGGTTCCCATTGTCCTTAAGGAATCTAGACACATTTCCTTACCTCTATATAATACTCAAAAAGCTTCAGAACTAAAGCAGATTCTCATCAACTCAAGACAGGCACCCACACTTTCAAGTAAACAGAAAGAAGAAAGCAGACCTGTGGGGATGGAGGGCCTTAGGGCCTAAGTAGTAACTTCCTATTTTCATGACTCGGTGGAAAGGAACAAGGGTTTGACCAAGGCTCAAAGATAGGCACAAACCTGTTCTTCTTCTGTAAAGGGTACAAGAGCCAACGGAGGCAGGGGCTCCTCCTGTAGGATAGGCAGAAATTCTTTATCCAGTAGGTCTGAAGGTATCTGTATGACCAAATACATGACCATGAAATTAATGCTATCCCTCCAATTACAAAAATTATAAACCAAGAAAAAACACTCTTTAGTCTATATCTTGGTGATTATTATAAACAATTACCTTTAGTAGTACTTACATACTCTGAGAGGGTCAAATATTAAAAACCCCAGGCACCTTCCTCTTCCTCCCATCAGACCACCACTTTCAGATTTGATATACAGCACTAACTCTGGTATTCCAGAGTACAGAGTGGAAGATTAAATCCTCACGTTTAACTAAAGGCACAAGGTACTAAAGAGAGTTTCATAAACAATTTTATCTGTCCTTAGCAACTATCATTAAAATTTGAGATCCCCAATCCATTAATAAAAGTAAAAACAAGGTATATTTTAAAAATACAAAATACCTCTCACTAGTCAGACAGTAAGTGTACTTTACACTGTTTGGGTTTTGATCATTTATAAATGACACAAATATGATATATTTTAAGATATTCTCTCAACTAAAAATTGTATATATTTAATAAAAAAGGGAATGAAGAAGAGAAAGCTCCTCTTCTAACTTCTAACTGAAGAGTAAAAGGTGCAACAAAGAGTCTTCCATTCTCAGCCATCAAATTGGGATAGAAATAGACATGAAGGAAGCATTAAGAGGAAATTAAAGTATTAAGTGCTGAATATTCTCCTGTTTCCATAAAGCTTTCTACTCCTGTAACAAAATCTTAGGTCTTCTCTAAAAAATACGGGGCTCCTTACACTTAGAAGATGCTCTGTCCCCTGAAATCACAATCATAATTCTCAACTATTTACTTTTCTCTTACCTTGTTATCTTTAAGGAAAAGTGCTAACATTTCTTCTCGACCATAACGATAGTCTGCTAATTTATACTTCGGCAAAGCTGGAGAAAGAGGAGGGGACGTGACACTCCCACCACTGGACAGAGCTCGGAGCCTAGAATAGGAGAGACATAAAATATAAAATTGAAGTGTCAAATATTCTGGCACTAAGAACTTTTATTTTTATACACTATGAAAGTGTTCATTTTAGTTCTTTAAAGGAACAGAAAGAAATCCCATTTTCTCAAGGTATCCAAGATTTTAGCTTTAACATAACCTGTTGTCACAGCACATTAAGAGAGCAGTTCATTGAAAAATAACTAGACGACCATGTGACAACTCCTTACTTAAAAGGTTATCATGGCATGTCCCTGAGAAGTCTGGGGGTAAAGAGGTGACACTTTTTCAAAATCATAAAAGGATTAAACATGATTAAAACAAAGGTGAAATATCACCTTATACCTATTAGATTAATAAGAATTAATAAATCTGACAATACCAATTAATAAATCTGGAATACCAGTTGTTGGTAAGGACATAAAACAATGGAAACTTTCAAGTAGTATCTGTGGGATTACAATGGAACCACCACTTCAAAGAATGATCTGCTAACATTTAACAGAACATCAATATTTGTTAAATAAGAAAGTATGCTTATATAAAAGAAAAAGGGAAACATAGAAGCTTATAAAAAAGATATACATGTAAACCTGCAAATAAATTTATACTGTTTAAGAACACATATAAAATGTAGGGGCGCCTGGGTGGCCCAGTTGGTTAAGCAACTGCCTTCGGCTCAGGTCATGATCCTGGAGTCCCGGGATCGAGTCCCGCATCAGGCTCCCTGCTCAGCAGGGAGTCTGCTTCTCCCTCTGACCCTCCTCCCTCTCATGCTGTCTCTCATTCTCTCTCTCTCAAATAAATAAAATCTTAAAAAAAAAAAAAAGAACACATATAAAATGTAGCAAAAGTATAAAAACAAACATGAACAGACAAAAACAAAATTCAAGAGAAGGTTCTATCTGCAAAGGGAAGGAGATTGTATAAAGGCTGTTTTAATTATACCTGCAATGACTTATTTTCTCAACCATGCTGTATAGAAATGTTTGTTACAATTTTATACTTTTATATGCCTATAGTATTTCATGGTTCATTTTTACTGAAAGCAATTAATGATCAGTATATTGAATTTGAAAATGCAGTGAAGAGTTAAAATACAAGAAAAAAAATTTTAAGCCATATTTACTTCTAGGAAAAAATAAAAATATACTCCAAGAGGAATGGAACTGGGGAAAGAGGAACATTTATAAGATTCTTTCATTTAGAGAAAAAAAAAAGTTGGGTGAACCTCAGCAAAAAATGGCAAAAATAAGATCCCACTGAAGCTGTGTCAAACAGCAAGTAGCAAAACTACTATCAGCAGTAGCTCATTATCTGAGGACTGCCTGAAGTTCTATAAAGTAATTAAGTATCAAGGGTAAAGGGGACCAAGGTACTTTACTTCAGTAGCTTAGCCTAAAGGAAAATTCAACAGAAGCATTAAAATATATTCCCCAAATTGCTAAGCTTTATTCACATAAGCAAAAAAGAGAATGATCTAATAAAAAAGCTCAGGTCATGAGCTTTTAAGAATTAATAAATCTGACAATACCAATTAATAAATCTGGAATACCAGTTGTTGGTAAGGATGTAAAACAATGGAAACTTTCAAGTAGTATCTGTGGGATTACACCACTTCAAAGAATGATCTTTGGGCAATGATCTTTAAAAAAATATGAAGGAAAGCAGAACATTTCTTGCATGTTATTCAAAAGTTATACATGCATAAATATAAAA